GGGCGAGGGTCGGGACCTGGTCGTTTCGCAGGAAGCTCAGGGGCGCGCCGTGTCGGATGGCGAATCGCGCGTGGCATTGAGAAAGCTGAAGTCTGGGAAGGCGCGGGCAGGTGATGGAATGGCAGCAGACATGTTGAATACTGACCATCCAGGGCTCTCGAAGACGATCGCATATTTTTCGCAGATATTCTTCGCGGGAATCTGTCGCCGCCAGCAGAATGGAGACGCATGAAGTTTCGGGTGCTTTTCAAGAAGGGGGATCCATCCATGTCTCGCAACTACAGGCCCATCGCGATATTGCCCGCGATGGCAGAGTTGTCCAGCGCGGCGTTGCATGACGGGATTGCGACAGAGACATTGGCGCGCGTCGGGGTCGCGAACAGTTCGGCTTCAGACCTGGGGGCGGGCGCGCAGGTGCCTTGCGCGCTGCGAGGGCGATTGCGGAGAAGTCTTGAGAATGGGGGGGGGGGGGGGGGGAATTGTGGGCTGCAGCGCTGGATGGTCAGGGGGCTTCTGACAGAGTGGGCCATCCATAGTTGTTTCATGCGCTTGTGCACAACAGCATCGACTCGCAAGTGGTGGGGGCACTCCGGCGCTGATTTTGACGTTGAAGGTTGCGTTTCTTTATTTGCAGGCGCTGGTAGCAGGGAATTCGATGTTCAGGGAGGAGTGAAGCAGGGGGGCCTGATATTGTCTCTGCTTGATGTGGCGGGGAGAGAGATTTCTCACCGCATTGCGCGCGGGTGGTCGAAGTTTCGGGCGATGCGGAGGTTGTTGACCAGGGGGGGTTCTCCTTGAACGAGCGTCTTACGCTGCTCAACCGTTCCGCGGCATGAACAGTCAGTCTTCTGGGGCGCCGAGTCGGACCCCGAGCGTCGACGAACTAAGGAGATTGTGTTCAACGCAAAATGCCACGTTGAGAAGGATTGCGAACAGCGGCAGGGCAGAAGGGGAGGACTGGGCCGAGCGGCTGCAACGGACGACCCGGCGAGCGAGACAGGTTGCCAACAATGAGGGCGTGAAGGAATGGGCGCGGGAGCATTTTGATGGGAAGGGGAAGTGGGCGGGGCGCGTCGCTCGAATGCTCCCGCGCGAGTGGGCTCTCACTATGACCAATTGGAGAGATGTTGCTTGGCACGCAGCAGTTGGCGGGAGGTGGCTGCGCCCTGGACGACCAACTCGACGAATATTGATGAAATTTGAATGCGCTTTGCGAGCGTTTTTTCGCGATGTGGGATGCGGAGACTGGTTGGGGAGGGCGCAGGACAGACAGGTATGGCGAGAGTTATCGGTTGCTTTTGCTGCGTGGTCCAGCACGTCATCTTGTTGTTTCTTCTGGTATCGAAGAAACTTCGCCTGTGTCGTGGCGCCTTGTTTCTCGCGCCGTGCTTGCGTGTATTAGATGAGAGCCGCCGCGCTGCCATTCGTTTCGCCGTTTCACCGGCCCGCCCCGCGTGGGCCTTTTCAGCTGAGACTTCCCGTTCCCGTTCGTCGTCCTCCTCTTCGTCCGGAAGAGGAGAAAGCATAGGACAAAGTGGAGACGGAGGAGGTGGATAAGGGAGGAGGATGAGAAGAAAGGTGGGAGGAAGGGGGAGGATAATGGCGAACGAAATGGTCAACACCGACGACGACGAAGACGGTGGAAGGGGCCTGGTCAGGAAACCTCAAGACTGCGATCGTGGTTTACAAATGCGTCGAAACGTATCGCGATAATACAAACGCTTCTGCGCATAATCCAGGCCCCTCCGTGTAATGCCCTCTCTGGAACCATCCGAGACCTCCGTGGGTCATATGGGATGAAATCAATCATGCATGGGGCGCCACGGTTTAGCGGCGCCTCCTGTAGCACGAAGCGTCGCCTCTTGGATCCCGCTTGGGACCTTTTTGTAGCGCTCTCCGGCGATGTTTGGGCCATCCTGGACCTACTTTGGGCCCCTTTCGGCGACCATTTTGAGGCCTCGGGGGCCCATCGTAAGCAAAACGTTTGGAAGCCAACACACGCACACAGCACACACACAAGCACACACACAAACACACAACCACACAAACACAAACACACAACACACACACAAACACACAAACACACACAAACACACACAAACACTCAAACGCATAGACACAACACACACAACACACAATGTTGCGCATCAGTTTGGGTGTCGTTGTCCCCTCGGGACCTCGGGGGTGTTTTTGGCCCTCAGGGGTCTCCGGAAAGAAGTGAAACGACGATCAGGTTGTGACGGCTTCGACTGATTGTAGAGGCCTCCGGCCGGTGCTGCCGATCCGGGACGATCCCGCTGTCAGAAGGACGCTTTCGCCCCAGCGCGGGTTGATCTTTTCCCTTTTCCGCGCTGCGCTTCAGTTTTGTAGGCAGTAGAAAATATGAGTCCGAGGCTTTCCGCATCCTTATCGTTCCCTGTTTGTCCATCCTCCTTCCCCCGCGGCCCTCGTGCATCTTCGAGGCCTCATGGGGGGGCGTCTTGGAGGTGATTGTTGAGCCTCTTGGGGGCCTTCAAGGTTTCTTGGGGGGCATGCAGGAGGCCTCCTGGAGGCCTCCTGGGGGTGTGTAAGAGGTAACTTTTAAGCCTTCGGGGGCGCTTTTGGGTGCCTTCTTGGGGCCACTTGGAGCCTCTCGGTGTTTCTCGGGGACTCCTAGGGCCATTTTGGTGCTTCCTGAGCGCCCCTTGGGCAGTCTTGGGCCCTGCTGGGGCCGTCATGGAGCCCTCTTGGGCGCTTCTTGGCGTCGTGGGGCCTGCTTGGGCTGTCTTGGGGGCCTCCCGGACCGTCTTGGGGCCCTCTTGAGAGCCTCGGGGCTTGTTTTGAGGGGCTCCTGGGCCGTGTTGGACACTGCGAAGGTCGAAGAAGCGAAAATGCAAAAAATGCACGTTTTCCTAAGGGAATGGGACATATTTTCCGTCTTTGGGCACTCTTAGGAGGTGTCGGGAGGGCGCGTTGGAGGCTTCTGGAGCCGTCTGAGGAACATATTGGGTGTCTTGGAGCGATATTTCGGCCACTCAGGACCCTATTGGGCCGTCTGGACGGCCGCTGGGTTTTTTATGAGCCCACGTTCGAGCTCTCCGGGGCGAGGGGCCAACCCGGAGTGAGCTGGAGCTCCAATTTTGCCACCAAAACTGGCTCGGAACCACCCCCCCTCCCCCTACCCCGGCAGAGCCACCCCGGCACCCACCCCCCCAGCAGAGCTGAAGCTCAAGAACTGCGGCTCAGGCTATATCTGAGGGCCTTTTGACACTCACACGCCGGCTCGGCGGATTTCGGCCTCCTGGACGGGGCTGGCTTGACCATCTTCGGCCATCTCGGGGCCACCTGAAGGCTTCTTGGCGCTGTGTTGGGGGCATATCGGGCCTGCTGCTTTTTGAGCTCTCTTCGATCCACTCTGCCGGGCCGCTCCGGGCCTCGCTGGAAGGTCCCGTGGGGTGAGCCTTCTGATGCGGTGAGGGTCCCGAGGGCCGCGGCCAGGATGCGGGGCGGGAAAATGACCACAGCCACTGCTTCTTGTTTGCGCCGCCCTCCAGCCGGCCGAAAAAGAAGCAGTGGTTGTGGTCATTGCCCTGGTGCCAAGCGCAACGAAAATGACCACAACCGCTGCTTTGTTCCTGCGGGCCGGAGGGCGGCAACCAAAGAGAAAAAAACAGTGGCTGTCGTCGTTTTCACGCCCCGTACAGGAGCACGGTCAGGAGCTTTGGCTTGGCGTGTCGCTCCTCAAGCTTTGGCCCACCACGCTTCGGTGCGACGAGCTCATCTCCGAGGCCCGAAAGCCATCACTTCACTAATTTTGGGCCCCAGGGCCCACTGAGGCCCCAGGGGTCCCAGATGAGTGGAGTGATGTTTTTTCCCACGTCAGGACCCCGAAATGCATCACTTCACTAAACCGAACCCAGGACGAAAGCCAGGGGCCGAATTGCTGCTGTGATGCAACATAGGTCTCGTATCATCGCGTCCCAGTCCCCAGACGTCAACGTGCCGGGTCTTTCCCAGCCTCCCGCCCCGCGGGGCGGCGCGACACGGCATCCGCTTTTGCAAGGCACGGCGCGTCGCCGGGGCCGCCGCCGAGGCACGCGAAGCAGCAGCTCCTGGTCCCTCCTCCTCCTCCTCCTCCTCCTCCTCCCTCCTCCCTCCTCCCTCCTCCCTCCTCCCTCCTCCCTCCTCGGAAGAGCATACCTGACCCAGGTTGCCCTGCTGGTGTGCCTCTCTTCCGAGGACCCCATGTGCCGCCAAGGCGAGCGCGAACCAGTACATACAGATACCCTGGACCTCTTCCAGGAGATTCTAGCACGCCTTTGGCCCGTTGGGCTGGCGAGTACGTCTGCACCGCCAGGGGAATCGATGCCACGGGCGATGGGTATGTATCGAAGGTCTGGCCCGTGCGGGCAGGCGCGCGCGCGTGCCCCGTTTGCCGCGCAGGGCGCGCATAAGCTATGTATTGTTGCGTGATTGATGCGGCGCGGCTCCTCCACCTCTTCCTCCTCGTCCTCTTCCTCCTCGTCCTCCTCCTCCTCTTCCTCCTCCTCCTCCTCGTCCTCCTCCCTGGGGTCCCCTCCGTGTCGTTGACGTGGTCGGTCGTCTCTCCTCCTCCTGCAGCCGCACGCGTGTTCGCCGCAGGCTGAGCGTGGGGAAGCATTGTTGCCGAAGGGCGACACGACGTCAGGGGGTGCATCAATTCCTATGACGCCCCAGCCCGAGCCAGATACCCCTTCCCGGTGACGGAGCGGTCTGGAAGGGCTCGAGGACTGCACCGAAGCCCCGCTCGCCACCCCCCTCTGCCTACAGTAGGGGCTCGACCACAAGAACCCTTACACAAGAAACCCAACCCTGAGACCCCAGGACGTCCATTGATTTTTTGGTGTGGGCACGTCACGCTTTCCATGGAAAAACATCGAAGCCCAAGAAACCCAGGGTACCCGGAGGCAAGCAGGGTGTTTCTTGGCACGAGCCCCCTCTGCCCACACGTCGAGGAGGGGGGGAGCCTTCGCCCCTCCGAGGAGGGCTACCAGCTCGTGCTCGCGCTGGGGAGCGGCGAGCAGACCAAGGCCTGCGGGGCGGGCGTCCTGCTGGGCCAGCGAGGTGAGTGAGCAAGGCGCCCTTCGATAGGAGGAGGAGGAGGAGCAGGTGGCTCCGGCGAAGGGTCACTCGAACGGCCACCCGAGGCGAAGCCTGGGCTGGTCGGTCTGCGGGCCGTGGCTCGGGCCTCTGACGGGCGCTCTGGACGATCCAGGCCCCCCCGAGGGGGCTCTCGGCGAGGCGCGGCTGCTGGAGAGCCTCCCAGGACGAGGAGACCTCCACGGGCGGGGTTTCAGAAGGCCCCCTATCCCCCGCGGGAACACTCTCCACGAGCAGGTCCAGGCCCTCCAGCTTTCGCAGGGCCCAGCCGGGGCTCCCCCCACCGACAAGCTACCCCCCATCGGACGCGTCCCCATGGATCTTGCCCTGCCAGCACCGACCCCGCCGCGCGAGCTAAGGGGCTACCTGCTCGAGGCAAATGGCCTACGCGAACCTGAGGTCGCCAATGCCGCTCTTCCCCCTTCCCCGCTGGGCGACGACAGATTCTGCAACTCTGTCAAGGGCCCGGGGCGGTGCGCAGCGAAGTGCGACGGTTGCCCTCCCCCGGGGCCGCGAGAGGCTTGGAACGCTGGTCCAAAGGCGGGAGCTGGAGCATTTTGCTTCATCGTCCGCGCACGGGTGCGTTTTGCATAGTTTTCGGACATGTTTAAAAATAATCGTATGTATTCTGGCGCGCGCGCGGGAGATGCAATTTCTCGTAGTCTACGACCATGTATAATAACAATCCCATGCCATAAAACAAATCCCATGTAATAAAAACCTCCCTGTATATATCACCAGTGGCGGGCGGTTTTTTAATCCCAGGACTTTTTATGAGGGTCGGGGACGACGTCGGGGTGGTGTGGTGTGTACTTCTTTTCCCGGTTTCCCGTGGAAACAACAAAACATATATACACTAGGATGCCGTATACACCAGAATCCGTTTTATTGTGCGAATCTCAGTGCGGGACCAGAAAAAAGCATCGGTGTATAAAGTTCGATTCTTTACAAAGGTTTTCGATAGGGGGCCGATGAGTTCCACGGGTTCTTCGGAGGTTTTCGGAGGCCTCTCCCGGCTTCGGAGGTGTTCGTAGGGTTATTCAGTAGAGGGCGTCGCCGTGGTCGTTTCGAAGATCTGGGACGTTTCTGGGGGTCCTCGTCGCCGCGGCTGGACACGGCTCGAGCAGCTGGCCAGCATGGACCCTTGGAGGGGTCGGGATGGCGAGGGGGCGGATTGTAACGGTTCTTCAAGGATCGCCACAAGGCAAGCGGGTCTTGAGGGCAATCGGGGTACCGAGGTAGGTGTTCGAAAGTTTCTGCACGCTCTTGGCCCGTTCCATGTCTCGGAGGTATCCAGGGGACCTCTGGAGGCTCTTTGCGATCTTCGTATTTGGAGTCCTGAGGAAAGGTTGGCTCCGGAGTTCTTTCTGCCGTCGTCGTCGGCCTCTGGACCCTCCCTTGGCCCCGGGACCGTCAGAGGACGACCCTGGAAGAACGAAGACTGCCTCTGGCGAAGCCCCAGGATCCAGGATCCGTTTCCCTCGGAATCCATTTCCTTCACTCCAGGCTCCCAGGGGACGTAGCGAATGGGGAGGATGAGTGACACCATTTCCTGTACGTGCCTGTTGGACGCGACGAGCTGTCGGCTTCGCATGCGAGCTCTGCTGCTTCAGCACCCGGCGCGCCTGCCCAACAGCACCCCCTGCCCACGTCGGACGACACCCGCTGTTGGGCGTCGTCTCCAGGTGCTGTCCCCACCTCGGAACGGGGAGGAGGCGCCTCGTCGTCGTCCTCCTCCGCGCCGGCGGGCAGCAGCTGATTATTCCCACGGCCTCGCAGTCCGCACTCCTCCCGGCCGCGACCCCGCGGGCACGGAGCGATCTCGCGCGCATGCCCCGCAGGGAGAGTGGGCGATGTCCATTCCACGGGATCCCGCGGTCGTGGGATCGCGCCTCGGTATCCAGACCGCGAGGGCATTCGGCGGCGAACCTCGAGCCCTACCCTCGCCGGCCAACGAGTCAGGCAACTTGATGGGCGGCGGGGGTAGGGTTCGGCATTCGTCGAACACGTGGCGGAATCCGAACCCCACCCCGCCTCCCGTCGATGCAGGAGGATCGATGGCTGCTGGGGGTAGGGCTCGTATGTCTCCACCTGGGCGTGGATGCGGATACGCCCGTCGCTCGTGACCTGCTCCCACTGGCGGTGCCGGTCGCCGTTGCCGTCCTCCCTCCTGCTCGCCCCGCTGGCCCGCTGCGGCCCGTGCGTCGCGAGGCGGCGTGCGCAGCACGGTCCGTTCTGTCTCAAGCAGATGCCGCGCACATGCTTTCCTACTTGCCTGCGGGCCTGCCTGCGGGCCTGCCTACGACACCGACAGCAGCGGCACTTGGGACGTGGGGCGGGAGGGTGCACTGCAGCGTCACGTATGCGTCGTGGGCTTGCTCGTGTGAATCCTCCCTCTCTCCCCTTCGCAGCCTTCCGAGCTACCGGGCCCAGGGACAGCAGTGTCCAACCCGCCTCCCCCTTCCCTTCCCCTTCCCCTTCCCCCTGCCCCCCCCCTTCCTTGAATGCTCCCTCCCCCGTTCCAAGAGAGGTCACGAGAACCTCCTGCGGATTCAGAGGGAAGGGCCCCGATCGGCCGCGAGGAAGGCAGCATCAGGCGGGAGGCCAGCCTCTGTGGTGGCCCGCCTGGCAATCTCTTCCCGTGACTTCGCGGCCGCATCGTGGTTGTCAGCGAGTTGCAGGAAACTTCCCTCCCGCTTTCACTCGGCCCCCTCTTCCTCCTCTTCCTCCTCGTCCTCGTCCTCCTCCTCCTCCTCCTCCTCCTCCGTCGGCGAGGTGTTCCTTTTGTTTGAAAACACCTCCGTCGGCGAGGGATGGCCACGGGCCCCGTCAACCCCGGCAGGCCTTCGTGCTGCGGGTGCTCGACGCGGGCGGCAGGAGACCCCGCGCTGGTGCGGAGGCCCTGCGACGGGGAGGGTGAGGCTCGCCTTCTCTCCCGGGAGTGGGGGGGGGGCCAGACTTGCTCGCGTCGGAGTTGGATAGACCTCCTACCCTGACACGTCGATTCAGGAATTGGCCGCTTTCGGTTCGCGAGAGGGCGTCGCGGCCGTCGTGTTTGTGGGTCCAGGTCCGTCGATTTCGGTCCCAGGTCGTTTTCACTGAGGGGAGGTTTACTCAAGGGAGGTTTGACCACCGCCGATCGCGTCGTGAAAAGACGCGACGGGAGATGCTGGGTGGTTTTGGCCTGGGGGGGGCCCCCGCTGGGCCCCGGGTCCGTCAACGAAGCAGCTCGCGATGAAAAACCCGCCCCGGGGGGGGGCCCATATTGAGCGCATCACGACGCCGCATATCTGGGGGGGGAGCCGAACCGCGGAAGCACAGGCGCATACGCTTGCAGAGTCCGCGCGGACTTCTCGGGTCGGCGCTGGAGTCCCTTCCCCTGGCGCGCGAACTGTGCCAGGGGGCGGCTTGAGGCGTCCCGCGTACATACCCCAGATTTCGTAATAAATGGGAGGGGGTCACAACCCTCCCAGACGAGAAGTCTCAGACCCCCCTAGACCATCCATGAAAGGGCGGCTCTTTGCCCAGACCCCCCCGAACCCTTCAAGACAGCTCAAATCCCCCCCCCCCCGAATGTGACCCCCCCACTTTATTTTGGAATCCGGAGTACATATCGAAGAAGGGGAAAAGGAAAGAGAGATGGGATGGACGGGTGGGATGGGCAGCACGGAATGGGGAGCCAGGGCGAGGGAGGGAGTAGAGGGCCGTGCCGACGTCGTAGGGGAGGTGGATTGGCTTTCTCTGTTCCTCGAATACATGCTCCTCCTCATCACCTCCCTGCTTCCACTTCTGCTGCTGAGTATTCTACTGGCGCCTTAGTATTATTATTCTTATTTTTATGTAGATAATAATAATTATTATTATCATTATTCTTCTTCTTCTTCTTCTTATTATTATTATTATTATTATGTTTTTTGCATGCGCCGTCTGTGCGCCAGGCTTGACTGACTGACTCACTGCTCGTTTGCATTCTTCTGCTGATGCAAGTGGTTCCCTGCTTCTCCCGCTCCCAGTACTCATTACATCAATCACAATTCAGTACGGCGTGCCTTCCTTTGGTTATTTGTTGTCTGAGTTCTGTCAGGGTGCATCACGTTCAGCATGGTTGTCATTTGCACCGTCACGTCGTTCTTGTGGTCCGAATGCTGGCTGCAATTGCGGAACTCCGTACCAGTAAAGGATAACGTGTGATCACCCGTGGATCGGTTGTTCGTGCATTGCCTGTCTGATGCCTCCTGCATCCAAACAGCATGCACCCCAAGGGGTAAAAGTGTGAGCTTGCATCAACGTGGATGAAATGCATTGCGTGCGTTCAGTCCACCGCCAATGCGAGTTCATAGCCCTCGTGTGCGCGGCTCGCCAATCGTGTGGTACTCATGTGTTAGGTCCATCAGCCGTGTGGTCTGAGGGCCACCCCGAGCCTTTCTCGTACTTCGGCTTGTCAGCCCTCCTGTGCTTTATCCCAGCCTACTGCCAGATCAACCGTCGGATGTGGTATTCGGCACGAGTGCAGGATAAAAACGGGAGTCTGTTTGCGCCGCCTCTCTGCTACTTGCAGGCCCAGCTGGACGCCTTCGCCTCTGGCAGCGCCCCGCCTTCCCTGGCGGACTTGCGGGAAGCAATGCAG